CTAATAAGAATTACAAATGAATAAAACGCTAATTAACCTTCATATTTAATGGTATTTAATTTTGTAGATTACATTTAATAGATTACACTTACAATTGGTTTGTAAAAGGTGTCATTATGCAGAGTTTTTGTTGCGCTTACATTTTTGACCAGAAGGTGTCACCTGCCCGTGGTCTATTGAGCGCTTCAGAACAGTGAATCGGTTCATGGACCAATTGGTTTAGCTGATTCAGAGATTCAAAAAGGTTATTTTCTCCCATCACTAACAAAAAGACTTTATTTGGTAAATGTGCTCTGCAGGCGCTAAAGGTACTGAAGACATCAGAGTTTATGCCATTCGTGGTTTTCATCGCTTCCCCAGAGCTCGACACACTACGGGCCATGCACAAAGCTGTGGTGGATGCTGGGATCACAACCAAGCTACTGACGGTCAGCCTCATTCCTGTCTATCAAATTCACTTTCTCAATTTTTTTTCCCAGTAATGTAGAAACATTGGAGTTACCATAAGCTCAGAGTTTGAGATATGGTTCTTTAGAAGTGTGATGATGACTTTGTCTTTTTAGGAAATGGACCTAAAGAAAACAGTGGACGAAAGCACCAGGATCAAGCGGGCGTACAATCACTACTTTGATCTGACTATAGTTAATGACAATCTAGACAAGGCCTTTGAGAATCTGCAGGCAGCTGTGGAGCAGCTGACCACACAACCACAGTGGGTCCCTGTGAACTGGGTTTACTGAGACGTACAGCGGTCCAAACACCCCATCATCATCATCATCTGCGGCACAACCGATGCGTCAGCGGCACAGAACACAAGTTCACACTGAACGGACCCAGCAGTCACTATGCAAATGTACACTAGCCATCCAGTCACGACAGACAAAAGGGAAGTGTACTTATTTATTAATGTTTTTTTATTTTCTACTGACTAAACTTAAATACTTGGAGGGAAAAAACAAATAGGATATTTTTGAATGGCTTGTCATTAAAATAGTGATTAATAATTTTCCAAATAAGTGTAAGCTGCATTACAGTATTTAAAGCAGGGGTCTGTTTTCTTGCTGTAATTTTAGTGTTACAAACGTTGGTTTACAGTGCAGGCTTCATCTCGCATTTCTTACAGTTCAGTCACTACAGTATGTCAAGCAGCTTTACCCCCAGTTTCACAGACAAGGCTTAAGCTCTAGTCCCAGACTAAAATGCATGTCTCAACTGAAAATATCTTGCTCAGAACAAAGACACTGACATATTTTAAGATATGTCAGTGTCAAGATGCACACCTGTAATGTTTTCTTCGAAGGCATTTTTGTAAAAGTTTCTTAAATATCTTAATTTAAGTAAGGCCCAGTCCTGGCTTAAGCTAAGCCCCGTTTGTGAAACCGGGCCTTAGTTTATCCAGCTTCGGACTTAATAAGATCTTTATAAGTGTCATCTTGTTATCCTCTTTGATTTCAGTTAAATTCAAGGAACGGTAGGAGTAAGCCAAATGTAACTTTTACAATATCACAATAGCACTTTCTTTTACAGGCCTGTTATGTATGTACTATAATAACTAGGTACTAATACTGAACCTAACCTTATAGCCCAGAGTATACTTCAGTTTTGACACGAACGCTTAAAGGCGTCGTTCACTACAAAATAGTAATTTTTGTAGTGAACCCACCACCACTACTGAAACATGGGCCGGTTCAGTGCTGCCATCTTGTGGACAAACAAATTTGTGTGAAAAAGCTTATCAGACAGATGCTGTGCCCTGTACATACTACATAGTATGCAAAAAAAAGTACGCAAACAATAGTATTGTTCAAATTCATAGTAGGTGAAAAAGTACCTGGTTGACCTACTACTTTCACCAGGATTCTGAAGTGTGCGTTCGATGGACACTTTAATATCCCATGAGGCCACTGCAGAGGATTTATGAATGGCAGTAAAGCAATGCAACAGACGCCCGGTAGGTCACATGACAGTAACAACATGGTGGATGTAGTATGCTCCAATTTCGTTCATACTACCCATACTCGTACTATATAGAACATGCATTTTTTTAAACTGTTGCAATTCAAATGTAATGCCTATTGCAGCGATTTCAGACACACAGATAGTTGTATGAGATCTCTGCAAAACGAATGTGAACATTTTCAAACTGGTGGGTGTTTCTAAATAATGCAATGAAAATGATGCCCCGTACCTGACCCCACTCCTAAACACCGCAGCAAATCAGGTAACGTGGTTGAAAATGTCCTCATTTTGGCTATATACTTGCAATATAATGAAGTATACTCTGGGCTTAAGGGCCAGTTCACACAGAACAAGTTTGTGTATATATACATATACATATACATGCATACATACAGTGCACAGCATAAAGGAGTACACCCCTCTGAATAAATATAAAATATGTATGTTCTTAATGATCACTAATATAATTAATGGAAAAATGGCAAAATTGAAACATATTAAACATATACTTAATAAAAACAACAAAATATATGCCAATATTTTCTGTAAGATAAGTAAATTAGCCAATTTTGTTTAAATGAAGGATTGCAGAAATGAGTACACCCTAGATTTAATTCAGAATATGTCTCACTACTTTTCAGTGTCTTATCTTGTGCAAGTTGAAAATGGTAAACCTCGGCTGATTTTTCCCATTCATCAGTGCTGCATCTCTGCATCTGGATGTTTTTGCGCGGCACCTGTAGTTTTTTTTTTTTTTTAAAGCAAAGTCCTGTTCTGTGTGAACAACCCCTAAACCTAACCTTAACTTAAAAAGCTATATAATGTGATATATGGTTACCTTACATTATATAACCTTATATTAAGTGCATGTACTATAAAATAAAGTGCATCCAATACCATTGATTTAATTTTATCGTTGCAGAATTATGAGCTAAAGTCATTGTGTTGCTTGTATGTCCTAGTATACAGAATCAGCACTGTATTTAGCTAAATACCTTTTACACAGGCACAAAATCACATTCAAACATGGAATATAGACCAAGTGTGTCAGGATCACAAGCTACCTGGCCTCACAGATTCATAACCTGTCATCTAGCTGTATGTAGTGATGTATCTCTGTCTCTGGTGTCTTGCTCCAGTGTCTTTTTCAAGGCTTTGTAACTGATTTTTATCCAGCTTGCGTATTCACTTGAAAATGTAATATTTTGCGATACAGAGAGTTGTATTTTCTGAAATTAAACAGCTGTCTAATAAATTAATCTTAATTTTGGATCACTTTTCTTAAGTCTTTATTTTCTGGGGCCTCATTTATAAAGCGTGCGTATGCTCCGATTTGATCTTCGAGTGTGCGTACGCTTGGATCAGTGCTCATATTTGTAAAAACTGCCTTTGACGTGGAAAGGTGCTTAGCGTCACGTCAGGGTCTGAGCAGACGCACACACTTTTTCTTGTCGGAGTGCTGCAGGTTTTTGGAAATGTAAGCTGTTCTTGCAGCTCGCTCTTCTAAATTAAAGGATTTGGACGATGACTGGTGATCTTTTATATGTTAATGACATTAATTAGGAGTTGTTTACAAGGCAGAGAGCTGAAACCATTCAGTTGCGCACAAGTTCAAGATCATTTGCGATTCATAGATTTCACATCTGAAAGAGAGGTGTACGTGTGTTTTCTGTGCGTACGATCATTCTATGAATCACACATACGCATGAGAAATGATCTAAGATCAATTTTAGAATGGTTTCTGAGGCCCAAGGTGTGCAGATTTGCTCTTGTTAAAAAAAAGTTTAGATGGGAGAAAACTAGGTTAAGGAATTGATGAAAACATGTACAAAATATGATGTAAACAATTTATTGTGCATTTGCACACATTTTCATATGAGTGTATTTCCAGGGTTGCCAGGTTTTCACAACAAAACCCGCCCAATTGCTACTCTAAACTAGCCCAATCGTAAAAATCACGTTCCGTGGGATAAAGCCCCCCCCCCCAGCAAAAATCACGTTCCGTGGGATAAAACTTTTTTTTTTTTGTCCGGGTTCCCCTGGTAAAAATTCGCATTCCAGCAGCTAAATATCTTGAGACCAGAGTATGGATTCCCAGAAGTCTCTATTTTTTAAATATGGGCCCTGAAAGAGGTTAAATTAGTTTATTTTGCATTGGCTACAGTAGGTAATTCTAGTGGTGACAACAGCCATGCATGTCACTTCTGCAGGCTGCGTCATACTCTGTGAGATAAAGTGTCACTCTTTTCACAGCTTTTGCCGGC